ACTTTTCCGCGCGGTCGGGCCGCCCGGGCGTTTGGGGCCGCCCCCACCCCGCCGCCGACCCCGTCGCGGCGCCCGAAAGGCCCGCCAACGACGGGAAACGGCCTCCCAGGCGTGGGATCGCACCCGCCCTTCAAAGCGGCCTTGCGCCATCGCGGCGGCCATCACCGCCTGCCACGCGGAGATCAAATCGTGCGCGAGATTCAAGACGCCGCGGGTGTAGTCCGCGAGCAAGACGGAGGCGCAGCTCACCTCCGCGAGGGAACTGCAAAACACCTGCAACCGTCGCGATGCGATCACGACGTTCATCATTTGCGCACGCATCCGGGTGAGGGAGAAGTTCACGGTGCTCTGCGGATGCGTGGCGGTCTCGACTTGGAAAGGCACCAACGGATCGCGGGCCTTGGGGGAGCCCCCCTCGGGCGGCTTGCCTGGCAGACTCGCGGCCGGCAACCTACTAGAGTTGTTCGTCGTAAGCATTTCCACCTAAACTAAACCCGTTCTAGCGAATAGATACTCCATTTTATGGTGTTGGGGTGTGTAAATGTGTGGATGTGGGTGGAGGGTGGAGGGTGGAGTCCAACACGGAAAGAAAGATCAATTGTATTAACGCTTCACAACGTTACGGAATACCACACTTCTCACGCGGTTACATAAAGTCGTAACTGAGGAATCCGTGCAATTTAGTAATTACTGCAAAAAAAAATGGCAAGTAGGAAGAAGAACACATGATACTAAGAAATAATTTTGATGTAAGTCTAGGTAGTGCCCTCTAAAGGTTCGCCATTCAATCCAACACATATTGATCGGTATAGGTGCATGTGTAAAGATTGGAGCGTAGATGGATTAACGTGATTAGCCTCTTGCTAACTTTCCCCCAAGATAACGATCCCTGCCTCCCCTAAACTGCAGACGAAGAGTGCATGAAATAAGTAGAGGAAGAAGTGAAGGAAGATGCACCCCATGCGCCAACCACACACACACACACACATAAACACAATGCACAGATAATGTATATCTCCCTATTCCCTAAAAACGAGCAACCAACAAAAAAGTTCCCACAACATTATCCCTTCTGAGGCTGCAAATTCCTTGCCAAGAGCTTCATCCTTTCCACCTCATCTTTCTGCTTTTGAACTTCAGCATGATCCATCGCCTCATGCATTTTGCCAATAATTTCGCGTTTTGCACGCATCATTTGAAAGGCAGGAAACGAAGTTTTGGTGTCAAGGTTCATAAAACTAAGAATCTCCTCAATATTCTCCTCCATTGTAGTTCTCTTGATATCTTCCGACGAAGGGAGAAAGTTTTTGATAGTGACAAAATATACGGTCATCCCCAGGAGTACACCAATTATGCAATTTGTAAAAAAGTTGTTCTTTTCAAGCCAGCGGTCAAGCTGAACTTTTCGCTGATAATACTGGAAGTGGCGACGAAGAAGGGGATCGATAACATACCAAAAGGAGTAAGTAGCCCAACGAAAAGTCGCCTTCGACTGATGGCCAACATCAGGAATTCTGGAAAGCCGACAAGCACTACATGCAAGCATACTAATATGAATTGTAAACGGATTGTATTGTTCGAAAAGCTGTCGACCCCACACTACCTTACCGAGTAGGTGTAACTAATGTTGTTTTACCCCTTCCCTCCCCTTTGATTAACTGAGTTGAAATAAAAGCAGAGAAGCCAGGCTTCTTTTTTTCCCCCATCCGATACCAAGGTAAACAAGCACACCGCAAATTATAATCCCATTTCGACCCACAACTCGCCTCTTTTTTTTGTTCTTTTTTGATCGGATTGTCGGACACATAAATTAGTGATATCCCCTCCACCCGATTATTCTGTGACTATCTCGTTTAAGATCCGCAGAAAAAACTGCAGTTGACGAGCGATAAGATTCTGAATAAAATGAACTCAATGACAAGATGATAAGAAACGTCAGATGTTAAACTTAATAAAACATTTAGCATTAATGTTTCCCTATTATATATATTTTTTTTCTTTTCGTAAACACTTCAATGCCGCCCGTACCCCCCCCTCCCCACACACACACGCCCCGACTCTTTATTTGCGTCTGAGGAAGTCGATCAAAAGCTCGACGCCATATCCCGTCGCTCCCGCCGGAGCAAACCCCTTAGGCTTATCACCCGTATCCGACACGCCGGCGATATCGAGATGCGCCCACTCCTTCCCGGGCTCCACAAAGTGCGAAAGAAACGCCGCGGCGGTGCAGGCGCCGCCGCCAGATTTCCTGGGCGATACATTCACCAGATCCGCGATGCCGCCCTTGATCAGATCGACGTGCTCGTCGCCGATTGGCATCGGCCACAGCTCCTCCCCACAGGTCGCTCCCGTCAACATCAGCTTCTCCGACAGCCGCGAGCTGTTGCTAAACAGCCCCGCCCGGCGATTACCAAGGCTGACGACGATCGCCCCGGTGAGGGTGGCGAGATCGATGAGGGTATGTGGGGTCCGCGCAAGCCCCGCGTGGCGCTGAACAAAGGTGAGAATATCCGCCAGCACGAGGCGGCCCTCCGCGTCGGTGTTCAAAACCTCCACCGTCGGCCCCGCGAGGCTCGTGAGGATCGACGAAGGCGCGTAGCTGCTGGGCCCGATCGCGTTCTCCACCAGCCCCACCGCCCCGACGAGGTTGATGGGCAACTGCAACTTCGCGGCGGCTTTTAAGGTGGCAAGGACGACCGCGGCGCCCATCATATCCACATGCATCCCCTCCATCGACCCGAAGGGTTTCAAATTCAGCCCCCCGCAGTCAAAGGTGACGCCTTTGCCCACCAACGCGGTGGAGTGCGGGACCCTTTTGTTCCCGACATACTCCAGCACCATGACGTAGGGCTCGTGAATCGAGCCCTTGCCGACGCTGTAGAGCAGGTTCATCCCGGCCTCCCGCACCTGCGCACCGCGTAGGACCTTCCGAAGCTTCACCCCTTCCGGCAGCACAAACTTCCTCGCCCACTCGACGTAAAAATCGGGAACCCCTTCGTCCTGGCGAAGATTCCCGAGGTTGCGGGCGTCGTTGATGCAGGCCCCGATGACGGCGCCCGTTTGCACGGCCCCCGTGGCATCGGAGGCGATGACGACCTCCAGAGGGGGCTCCTTTACCGCGGGGCCTTTCTGCCGCGCGGGTGGCCGCCGGCGCGTCGAGGCCGTCTCCGGCCCCACCGGGGCCATCTCGGTGGCCTTGGCCTCGCCGGTCCTCAGGCGGTGGTACTCGTACGCGGCGGTGACCGCGTAGCAGGCCGTTTTCTCGGCCACCTCCGACTTCGTGAAGGGCCGTGCGGGGTGGAAGACATCCACGACGGTCGTCACGTCCGTGCTTGGGGGGTGGATCGTCAGGTAACGCGCGCCCAACTGGCGCGCCCGCCGGACGGCGTTCGTGAGGGCGAGACGATAATCCCGAATATGCCCACCCGCGCCGCGTCCGGCGAGGAGCTCGTGGGTGTGCCCGAGCGGGGTGGCATCCCCCACCGCGGCGGAGTCCTTCACGGGCCTACTACGGCTCATCAAATACAGCGCCCCTGCGGCCCCATCAAACCCCGGAGCGGCCTTAGCAGGGAGCTCGCCAGATTGCACCTGGGACTTGGTCATGAAGCGGAGTGAGAGGGCGTCCGCCTTAACGGTCTTAGCCTTGGCCGCGGGAAGTTCATTGAGTGCAAGGACTGGAACCGTGCTAGGGAATGGGGCACGAGAAAGCACGCGACGGAGCATGAGAAAGTGCCAAAAAATATGCGGCTTGTGAGTTATCCCTTTCAAAGCTAATATATCTATATTTATATATAGATAGATACGTATATAGATATAGATATGTTCTTATGATCGTGCACTTCTCAGCCTATCCTTTTCTTCAAACAAAAATAAACGCAGAAGTGCAAACTTACATCTCAAGTCATCAAACACTACCCTTACCATACTGGCACCATTCAAATAAAAGTTGATAAGAATTTGAATCAGCTATCACAAAGGGGCAGATTTGTGTAATGCAGCCTTCCCCGCACACTTCTCTCCATCTATCTAACCGAATAACTGGAAATAGTGTCTAGGGGTAAAGTAACTAAGCTGGCTTACGGTATTGATTTTTCAGTTTATATTGGTGGGCAATGCTACACGCATAAACCAAATTGCTTCACATCTATACTAATCTTTACATCTTTAACATCATCAAATGTAAACTGTTCTATCGTTGTATGCTCTTAAAGGTTCGCATTTGAATTTCAAACGCTTGCCAGTAATCTAACAGTGGTGAAATCACGTATATCATATATTTCAGATACTAAGTATAAAAAATACATAATGGGTCAGAGCTAATATATATATAGATATATAGATATGTATGTCTGTGCTTATGTGTAGCTCCATTTATTCATGCGCATCGAAAAAAAAACCTCTACGGAAAAGGTGGCCATATCTATACCCTATTAGCTTTCCGGAGCCCACTCGATCCTCACTAGCCCCGTGCACCGGCATAAAGATTCGCGCCGTAACGTAGACCCCTTTGGATTCCAACAAGGTCACTCGGATGCGCCTGCCGGGCTGATATATAAATGTGTTGAGCCCGCCTGGATCGCCTTCTAATCGGTCATCCGCCGAATTACTAGAAGAGTCATGACGGCGGCGGCGGCGGCGGTGGTGGGACCGATGGGGGGATTTCGAGGCCGAACTCGCCACAGGCACCGCACAGGCCGGCGGTGTAATATCGAACAAGGCCGGCTCCTTGTCGTTCAGGGTGTATGCAATCACCGAGTTCGCAGGGGCGTCGTCGAATTCTAATTCGATCTCCTCGCACGACACACATAGCACCGGTGGTGGCAGCAGAGACGCAGTATTACCGCTATCGCTCAGACGCTTTCGACTGGGGTTGGGGTGATCGACGGAACCCCTCGCGCAGTCGTAGATGGTGGCCACACTCCGCAGGTGGGTGCCGCCTTCCAAGGTCGACCGGCTCAGCTCGTTAGGGTTGCCGGAGCTGAGAAGACTAAAGGTGTCTTTTCCCGCCGCAGACCCTGGAGCCCCGTCGGCAATAGAAGACCGCTGCGGCAGCCTCCCCCCGTCGACGGTCCACGCGTACACAAACGCCACGTTTTCCCCCAGCGGAATGGGCCTTCCGTCGTATAGGATGCAACGTTTCTCACTAAACTTCGCCTTTTGCCGGGCCTCACTTTGGTAGATCAGCTCGTAGCAGGTGCGCGCGCCCGGGGGGTTGCCGGTCTCCACAAAGTAGAGCTGCGCGTTGAGGGCGCGAATCTGCATCGACGGAGCGCTAATCGACGGGTCGAAGTAGGAGTGCTCCGCGGGCCGCACCTCTAGGACGGCCTTGGCGACCTCGCTCACCGCCTCCCCACGTAGGGCGATGGCGTGGATGGAAACGAGATGCGGCCGCCCCGTCTGGGGCTTACCCAAAGGCAAGGAAAGCGTAAAGGGCCCGGTGTAGAGCATCGTGGGCTCGCCGCCGTCGACACTGTAGCGGAGCTGCTCCACAACCCCGCTCGGCTCGATGTTGATGAGGGTGCGCGTCGTCACCGCGCCGCTCTCGGGGATGATATGCGGCGGCAGCGGCGCGGCCTGGACGCGACTTCCCTCCATCGGGGAATACAAAGAAGGCTGACGGGTGTAGGAATCCCGCGCGAGGTAATCCCGTCCGGTGCTCGGGCGGTTTGGATCGTCGTAGGTGTTGGCGGACTCGTTAATGTGGATGGTGTTTTTGATTCTTGATGAAGCGGGCGCAGAAGGGAGGCCCAGGGATGTCTGGGGACGGGATCCTAACACATCGTCCGAGTTCGTGATATCAAACACAAACTGGTGGACGATCCCTACCGTCTCGGCCTTCGGATGCACCGTGTGCGCCTGGATGACGTACCGTCCAGGTACGACGAACTCGAGGGGCTGTGTGTAGCGTAAGAAGACGTCGCTGTATAGTGAATCGTTGCCCAGCAGCTGCACATTTTCGTTTTGATTGTTACGGTGATTGGAGACATCGCGGCCAACTGGCAAAGTAGTGATACTGGGGTCTAGGAATGCAATGTTGATGAGAATATCCAAGTCGGAGGTCCCGTATGGAGATGGTGCTATGGTTTTAAGCACAACCACACACGGACTAACGTGCGTCCCCGCGGCAGGTTCAGTAGTCAGTTCCCTCTCCGTAAGACGCCTATAGCCTAAAAACAGTCTCTGTGAATCCTCTAAATCACTGTCCAATTCATGTACAAGATACTTGTCTCTTCGACAGCGACGGAGTAAATAAATGCTTGCCACTATAACAATAATAAGTAAAACCGCACATAGAACCCAAAGGACGATGATTGCGTCCTTACTCGCCATTACCACCTTGGCAAAGAAATGATTTTAATATTCTAAAATATTTTTACTTTATCGGTACTTCTTACTTTCCTTTTGAAATTAAAGAGAGAATTTGACCTCTCTTTATTCTTTTCGAATATTATTCAATACTTTAATGAGATCCTTAAAACGCAATGAAAAGACAAGCATGTAGACAATTATCATCGTATAAAGCATTCAAGTGGAACACGACAAAGCTAACCTCATACATCCTGGAACAACTCTCCTTTCGCCGCAGATACGCTCCGCTGACTTTAGAAAATGACACAAAAATAGCAAACTCGATGGAAAAGCAAAGTTAAAATGTGAATCCAAAGCCTACATGCCGCAGGGTGTGCCCTAAACGGAGTTCCCTATTCGCGTTAGCATTCACCTAAAAGATATAAATTGCCTAAGGGAAAATTTAAAAATCGCACAGGCTTTTTAAACTCCATTGGTTGTCCCATAAAGCACATATACTCCACAACAGAGTTTATCCACAATACGTATCTACTCCACCCTTATATTCCCTTTTCAACTGTCAATCCCTACGCACCCTCCGGAGGAGAGCCTTGGCTTGTCGTAGCAGGTCTTCATCGTTGGGGGAGCTAGGATGTCCAAAAGAAACAGCAGCCATGGAGTGCGTCGATGAAGGCGAGGGACGAACGAAACTCTCATGAAAGGATTGCGTTCGAACCTCCCCAGCGCTGGTCTTCGGGTTACTCCATGTTTCCCTGGAGCTTCTAGCGCTAGCACTACAACTAGCATCCCCCCCACAGTTGTTTACTCCAGTCGCAACCGTTTCCATGTTTTGGCTGCTACTGTTTTCGACGTCAAAAGCCCCACCTTGCCGATCAGGTCGTCTATCTGCCACCCCCTCCCCGGAGGGACCCTTCCGGAAGGGCATCGTGGTCCTAGCGTCTTCATTCTGATGGAGGTGTAAAAGGAATCGTTTACGATTCGAAAGTGCTTTTTCCTGCAGTGCTAGCCGTTCGATCGGTTCACGAACGGCAGGGGAAAGACCGGTCAGCGCTGCCACCAGGAAGACCCGATCCCGTTTCTTTGCACTGTAGACCCCGTCGGCAACACATGCGCATACCGCATCATAGAGCAAAACCCGTGAGAGAGACGGTGGAAAGGCCTCGGGAGAAATGAATTTCATCTCAAGCTCTGGGTTAAACGGAAACAAGGAAGCATCATGGCTGTCATCCATAAACGGGATGGGTATGGGCTCCCGGGTGGTAGAAGTAGCCCTTTTTGTAAAGCTCGCACTTCCCTCATGATCCTCAGCACGTGGGAGAGAAGAGGACTGGGTATCCCCTCCAGAACCCCCCTCCTTGGATAGACTTTCCTGAGCTCCAAGAAACGCATTGGCGTCCATGGAAGCTTCCACCTCCGCTTTAGGCTGTAATCGAGATGGGTCAGATCGCGGCGATCGAGACTGCTGTTGCGATCCAGACATCAGCGGAATCGAATCCACATACTGCAGGAGCTCCTGTTTGATCTCATGATGGGAATCTTTGCTTGGGAGCAACGCATCCACTAGTCCGCGAATGTAACGCATTTCTTCATGGCGAAGACCACCTCCCGTAGCACACAGAAAGAGTGTTTTGACATATAAGTATGGCATTTGGTAGGTACTAATGTTCGGCCGGTACTTAAAGCCATACAAACTATCATTAAGGAAAACCCTACCTATGACGGGGGTATAGGTATTCCGAAAAGAACTTGAGTATTTCAACATCCATATGCATATACAACTTAGTTTATTTTGGATATAAAGAAATAAAGAATGCAAAAGGGAGAAAAGGATGCCATATGGAATGAAAAAAGCTCACACATATACTGATTCGAACATGCGTATTAAGAATTAGACACATCCCATATGTTAAACACATGCGATGATTGCTGTCCTCGATTTATATTCACGTTATGTTCTACGTGTCTTCCTTCCTTGGGTAAATCAGAGTAAATGAGATAAAAATAGCAGACATCGGATGCATCAACGATATCAGCATTGCTTTTATCTTTAGTACAGCCGAATACCTACAGGGATGCATGATATATGTATATATATATATATATATATATATATATATATATAAATGAACAGTATATTTAAAAACATATATAATAAAACTTGCTTCCATGAAGACTAATTTATTAAATGGCTAGATAAAAACATGAATAAAAAAGGGCCTGAGAAATGCATAGATGCGTTTGTGGATATTTAATTAACTCATAGGAGTTCGACACGTCTTGGCTTACATACCGTCATACAGAGCAGAACACAAATCCGACGGACATGGAGTCCTTAGATGAATCCAAGAGCTCAGACCGCTAACTGAATAACTTGAAGGCACAACACATCATGTGGCTTCGGTGAGCTAGCTCGGGCGGATGCCAAAGGTGTCTTTGTGTACATTTCACAAACTGTTTATTTATTTGTTTTAGCAGAATTAGAAGAATCCTTCAATGTTTGTATTATTTTCCTATTTCATTCAGTATGGATACATCGAGAAAGATAATTTGGAAGGATTCGATAGAGAGTGAAAAATTCATAAAATTTATTCAATTACAAAATGCGCAGAACCTGACATCTTCATTTTGCTCGTATGTCTTAAGGACTTCATGCCTTGAAATCTACTTTCTGAGCCATTTTTTTTACCGAAATATACATATTGGCAAATTCACTACGAAAAAAGCAATTGCTACTATAATGATTTGGCCATATATAACGTAAAAAAAAAATGACTCTATACGTATATTCATCAAGGGATGCAATGTACAGTGATAATTCATGTCCGTAATCTATTCAGTTTATACAATTCCACTGACTGTAGCTCAATAGTATAGAAAATTTTTTATTTATTTAATGATGATACTTATACAAAAATACAAATATTTCTCATTAGGCAAGCAAGATGAATCGAAACACGTTAGCAGAACCATTTCAGCTTGAGTTCAAATCTGTATCATCCGTATCTGAAATATACGATAAAAATTGTGACAAAATGTAATGTAGCAAGCCAAACGATATTAAGCTAACTCGGACTTAATAAACAAAAGCAATCATATCAATCATATAGATTTGTCGTACTAAAGGCAAAAAAAACTATCATATATGTCTCTACCACAGAATAATATCGAGCAAATGAAAAACTCATCGCAGTTGCATGAATAAAAGAAGTCCTACGAATTCCTTAACTGAGCAGACAGAGGACTAAAAACAGCCTAGCATTCGAATTTTATTTCTTTGAAAAACCAAGCATGCTTAACCGCTAGACAAATCTATGGAGAGTTTAATATTTCTTAATAATATATTCGTTTTTTGTAGCTTTAATACAAATTTTAGTGACAAAGAATCAGGATGTTGTGTGCCGGTTGCTTCCCTATCCTCAGCTTCATACTCTCATGACTGGTGTAACTTTTTAAACGATAAATTAATCAGATAATAATAGTTTAATAGCATTTGTGTCAAGATTCGGCGAACTTTCACACCAAAAGCTACCTGAGTATCTTTAACTGGATAAAAGGTGCATTTAATGACAGTACTTTAATTTCTTAGACAAAAAGCGAGGGAGTGGAGAATCGTTCACCTTACATTGCACATTTGAACTCTAATATAAAAGGATAAATCTAAAATTAGTAAGAAAATAGTACCTTAATAAACAATGCACTGTAATCCCAGGCGCGCACTCATATCACAAATATTAAAATAATGAAATGATCGACCTTATTCGCAAACTCAAAATAGTACTTTATGAGGTAAGTACATATCGCTGAGACTAATGCAAAATAATCCTTTCACCGCATTAGATTGGGGCGTAGTAATGCTTTATCAGTCAGATCAAATATAGACCACACGAAAGGCAAAATAGAAAAAAAGATTGCCTTCTCAACTGGTGTTCTCATCCGAACCAGAAGAAATTCGCGTCGGAACTAAGACCGTTTTTCCTTTAGCCTTGAAACATGCCTCTGCAATTGTATTCGTACTTCACGACCAACACATATGGAAGTAATATTTGCAATTCATCAAAGTCAAGAAGAAGAAAGCAGATCTGCCGTTGCTCCCTCCCCTACTCCCACCCCTCCTGTGACATATCCACTCTCATCAAGATCTAATTCAATGGTTCTCTTACCATATGCCGTACAATTCCGAATTTAGGGCAAGCCCGTGATGCACCCCCCCTCCCCCCCCCCCCAGAATGGTAGTGTCACACGCTTTAAGTCGGGAGGTGGGGTGGGGATATGCACAGCGGAACAGTCGGATAGGGCGGTTGGGACAGAACATGTTCGCATCCCCCTGACTCCCCCCTGTTGTCGAGAAGCCCTTCCATCACCGGGCGTGTGGACACGCTAAGGTTGGAGATGGTGTTGTCGTCTGGGGGGGCCGAGACGAGGGGGGGCTTGAGCGCGTTCTCCGAGTAGGGCTGCCGCGAGCGGGTCGCGTCGGCGGCGGAAGCGAGGCTGTACCGGACGTCCCGGGCGTGATCCTCGGCCGGGTCCGACACGTTGAAAAGCCTCTGGTGCGCGTCGTGAAAAGAGGGTTGGGCCTGCCGCAAGATCTCTGAGGCCGGCATGGAATTGGTCTTCGGGCACCTAACCTGTGGGGAGCTGCTTATGAAGGCCCGGTTCACGTCCCCGGCCAGGGGGGGAGAAACCCCCTCGGAGACCGAGCACATGGGATCCAAAGAGAAGTTTGGGGGCTGCCTTCTCTCCTTCTCGATAAGAAAGAATGAGATGTCATCGGGCTGCCGCGGCATGGGCTCATTGCTCACGTCGACAGTAACGGGGGCGATGTTTGGCTCGCTGACGCGTACCGTGCGCGGAGTGGATGGGTCCCGCAACTCCCCATTGATGCAAGCATAGCAATAACTTGTGAAATTGCGAACGGAGGTGCGCGAAGGCTGAGTGAAGTCCATCTCTAGCGCTCCCTTAGAGTTCGAAACTCTGTGCAAGGGGACTCTCAAGTTGTTCGGGCCACTCATAACGCTCTCCTCTAAGTGCCCCAATTCTACACCCATGCGTTGACTCAAGGCAAAGTAGGCAGAAACCATCCCCTCCAGCGTACTAATGCCATCTGGCGCTATACAACTGATAACCTGCAAAAGATTCGCATAGTACTTCAAGTTGAGCCCAAAAAAATCATCCATTATGCGGCCGGAGGCAAACAACTGATTCTGCATGATTTCGTTGTAGCACTCATCGAATTTTTTACGATGTTGCTCGAATTTTAGCTCGGCTTTCTCCATCTTCTTCACCTGATCCATGTACCGCTTACTTTCGCAAATGGGCTTCCTAAGCTTCATATACTTAGTCTCCTTGCGCACCACGTCACGCTTCAGAGACCCGAACTTTTTTAGAAGAGATGCAACCTCCTTTCCGATTTTGCACGCATCTAAAATCATAACGTTCACTTTGTTTAGACGAGATATTATTCCATCGGAAACGCCTTGCTTGTACTCTAGGAAATATTTGCCCCCTTTAATTTGCTGCATCTCTTCCAGCAGAACCTTGGCGGACTGCTGAAGCTGAAGAAGGAAGTCCTTCGAGGAAGCTTCGGCAGAATTCGCATCACACGGCTCGTTCAGCTTTCCTGTCATGTAATTGTTGCGTATGCACAACGTTAACTCTTGATAGTTCTCCATAATTTTTGAAAAGTGTATCGTAGTCTCACGAATAGAATCTGGAATCCGTTTGATATTACAAATGGTACCATGAACAATTTTGGAAAACAGCTTTACCCGCTCATAGCACGCGATAAAATTGCACTCACTGTTGGACGAAGGCCATCTTATGTTGTCCCTCATACTGAGATTTTCTACCATTTATCGATTCGAGTTTTGAAAGAAAAAATAAATTGTATGTAAAGAAAGTAAGGGTAATAATATTAATAATAATAATAATAGGAATGAGAACTCTAAACTCACCTAAAACGAACGTGTAGCCCTTTCGATTGTTGTTGTTTGTATCGTGGCGTAAAAAAAAAGTGGATTTCGTTTTAACCTTCCAGAAAAAATGATATAGTTATTAGTAAGCAATTAGCTCAGAGAACAACAAAAATGTGTTTTCAAGGAAAGAGGGATGAAGTGATTTCAATTAAATCAATTTTTAGATCATATAGTGACTCTTAAATAGTCTTCGACAGTACCATGAACATATTTTTTTTGAAATTTTGAAACAACTGATAAAAAAAGACTATCTCCTTAATCTAGAAGCTCAGCGAATAAAAATGTCTTCAAAAGAATGTGATCAAGCTAAATATAATACAGCTGTTAAGAAAAGTCGACTTTAAAGTTCCTATCCCTGATGCTCCATTTAACTTTTTTATTCCACTGAGACTAGTTTCCGTCGTCAAAAGCGAAACAAAGTTTTTGCCGCTGATATCAAAATAAAAAACAAAGGAGTATTAACTGGACGATTCAACATGCAGGCAAAGCAGCGATGTCATACAAAATGGTGCAAATATTTTACAACTGAAGTGGTAAACCTGGAAAAAAAGGGGGAAAACAAATTATATATATATGCATATATACATAATTTATCCATTGACTACTGGCACACCATTTTGGGGGGGGATATTTTTATTTCAAGTATCACCAAATGATATTAGTTCGAGTTGCATTGGTGGAGCCATGTTATTTGTCTAAAACCCTCATCCGCAATGTCGTCAAAGATAAACAGATAGATGGTATTGTAGCACAAACACATGACGTGAAACAACACTACCCACTTTGGTGTACGGTTGATATTAATTCGTAGTTGAAACATTGAAGCTGCTTCCACATATTTATTGATCAGTTGGGTGGTTTATTTCTCTCCAATTGGTTTATCTTAATTACTTCCATTTTGATTTCAATCTGATTAGTTACACTACTTAGCCTGCTCATCACAGCGATGTGCATCGGACCTCACAACGAAGCAATATCGTCCCATTATTTTCATATACACGGTGTTTCACTCGGTTAGCACTGGTCCTTTTACCATTTGCTAATGCTAAAGAATAAGTAATACGTTTAAAAAAAAAAGATGCGCCCACATTCACACACCTCGAGAAAAGTGAAGACGAATTAACGCCCAACACTATCCCCTTTGGCACATGAATTGATTTATTGTTGATATTTAGATGAGTATGGCTGATTGTATTCTTCTGCAGCATTCGACCTCTTGATGAGAAGAAACTCTAGTGGAATCATGCTGCCCTTATTCCTCATCCCCTCCCACTTCGGCTTCCCCTAGCGTCACTCTCCTTCCTCCCCCTGCGACTCCGAAAAACAAAGGTATGAAGGCTGCAACGGCAAAGGGAAAAGGAGCCATAGTATTTCGTCTTCTGAATTAACAATTAGCTCTTTTGACTTTTTAGGTCTCTTCTACACCCCCATTTAGATTCCAGCACCTGACTCCACGCGCGCCTTAACACCAATCTTCTCGAGCATACCCCCCACCACGTGTGCCGTGGATTTTTTTTTGTTTGCAGCATCAAGGTTAGAGTTACCGCTCTGTTTGTTGGTCGTATCGCCCGCACCTTCCGCTGCCACGGCGGACGCGAACATTTCGGCAATAGAGGTTTTTGGCTGTGATACATTGCCTCTAATCCTCTGCGCGTCCTCATCCTTCTTTGGGCCGCTCTCGCAGTGGTTTTCGTTCAGTTGCTTGTCATGTGGGGTATCATCGAGGCCATCGGCGCGGGACTTGCGCCTGCCGCCCCGCCGCGTCCCGCTGAGGCCCTTCAGTTGTCGTTGGATGTCGTTCGTATCCTTGTTGTTCAGCCCGCCCCCCCCGTTCTCGTTGCTGCTTCCACTTTTATCCCTTGACGGTTCGCTTGTCAGCTCCTGCCGGTGCACGGCGCTGACTTGGTGGACGTTGGACAAGGAAATGACGGGCCTCATGGAAGTGGACTTATCATCGTCCACGTCCACCCCATTTCCGGACATTTTCCTCGCGGACAAGCCCCGCCGCCGATTGTTCCTATTCCCACGCCGGCCTTTGCGGCTACTCTGGCCACCCGAACCGTTTCCATTACTCGCATCCGTCAACTGTCCGCCACTGGGGCCCTGGAGCTGCAAGCTGGGGTTGCTTTTGCTGTTCCCGCTCACCCCCAACGAGGCCGCCGCTGGCGAGTTGTTGTTCGACATGACGCTATTCATGATGTTGTACGCACCAATCGCGTGCGAGCCGCCACTTCGTGCGTTCCCGCCACCCGTAAAGGGGCTCCCGTTGGAACCACCCGCGGTGCTACCGCCACGAGGCCCCGCCCGGCTCAGCATCTCCCGCTCCTTCTGCAGCTTCACCTTGAGGACGTTGCGGATCGTGATAGGGTCCTCCATATCCGCGATTGGGGGCCGTGGGCTCCGCAGGACGCTCCCAAGGCCCTCCTCGAGTCCCGTCACCAGGAGTGGGAAGAGGGGGTGGGAGGCGCAGATGTTCAGAATGGGGAGGTGCGCGGGGTCCGCGCTCGGGAGCCACACCCCGGGCTGCCCAGGGGTCGTCGTCACCGCGGAAAGCGCGGAGGAGGCGGCGGCCGAGAGAAGCGTCCCGGTCCCTCCACTGTAGTAGTACTGCTGGATGAAGTGCGCGCAAAGCGAGAAGTCGGAGTTCCCGATGAAGGTCACAATCACCGGGGACTGCCGGCAGCGCGAGGAGATCAACGGGGAGCTCGTGCTGAGCCCCACCCGGAGTTGCGCCACCTTGAGCTTGATGTGCTGCTCGGAGTTGTTCGGGTTGGAGCGCAGCATGGACTCGATCTTGAGCTCACCGTCGCCTGTGGTGTGAAGTATTTGGATGAACTCCGCCCACTCCTGCTCGGTGAGCGACTTCTGGGGAGGGTAATATTGAATTAGAACGTCGATGTCCATGAGATCCACCGCCGTGCAGGTATCCCAGCCAATGAGCAATGTCGACTCTTGACTTTTGGATTGCGTGAACGAGAGAAGCAAGTTATGCTGACGCTCGGGAGCGTCACTACGCAGAAGGAAGTACTGACGACTATCCGACGCGTTCACCTGGTTCCCACCAGAGGGTGAAGTGGTAGAGTTGTCAGCATGGGAATCCATGCTTGTTGTCAAACACGGATTCGAGTTTGTGCTATCGTAGAGCCCACTAGCCTGGATTTTAGCACTCAGTTGACGAATATCCTTGTGATGGGTGAGTAACAATGCCCGATGAAAGACGTAGGTTTGTTTTAAAATCATCTGTAACTGCTCTTCCCGATCCTTGTCGTCAAGATAGAGAAGGTAGCGCATGTGAATGCTCTCCATGGGCGAGGTTGTGCCCGGCCCACAATGCGCAAGTGAGGCAGATGATGATGAGATGTAGTTGTTCGGAAGGAGTGGGTAGTGGCGCCGGTTGCGACGGCTGAGCCGACTGCGCACCAGCGGCGAAAGAGACGAGAGCGGACCCAAGCACAACCACATGAAATGCGGGAACAGATGCGTGATGGTGATGGAGCGCGCGTGCGCGCGCTCGCTCGCGACCAGTATTCCCCCAATGATGTCATGCCAGCTAGCCTCGTCCGCCGTGCCGGGATGCAGCACGCCGATATCCTCAGCCACCAGCGCCGCAATGTGGGGCACCACTCCAACAAAACACTTCGGAATAGCCTCCTTCGGATGCTCGCCCTCGACAGCGACTCCAGCACTCTCCCCGTACTGACGCGCGGCCAGACCACGCGCAAAATCCGATCCATTCCACCCCAAGAAACTCTTCAGCGTGGTCACAAGCAGGAAACCCGCAGCGGCGCTATCGTCGCTGCTCCCGGCGGGCGCAGACACGACACCCTCTTCCGAGGCCTTCCCCTCGCTACTCGCCTTGACAGCCTTCTCTATGGCTTCCGAAAAGGACTCGCCATGGCGTACGAGGAAAACCCCGACCTTGCACCGGCCGCCCACCTTCTTCGCCAGATCATGCATTGGCCCCAGCGAGGTATCGCTCGCGGCGAGCAGGATGCTCACCTCGACGCCCTTCAGCCCCCCACCACCCCCGATCCCACCGCGTTGGTTCCTCGCACGGCTCGTGAGGTTCGTGAGGAGGGCGTGCACCGCGTAGAGTGTGGTTAGGACCTGTCTCTCGTGGGTCGCCGCCGGGGTCTTGTACAACGGGAGGTTATGCCCGCCAGGGGTGTTCAGGGCGCCGCTATTGTGAAGCCATATCGCGGTCGCCGTCCCGACGGTGGAGCTACCTGTCGCGCACCGACCGTCGACCAGCACATCCGCGAAATCGGTGGTGGTGCGTGTCAAGACAGTCGTTAAAAGCGCGGTCGGCTCCAGGCAAAGGTCCTGGACGGCACTGAACAAGGTCGGGTGTAGCTTCCACTGCTGGATGGAGCTGTCCATCGTCGAAATGTCCGTTTTGGTATGATAAGCCATCCGTTTTTAATGGGTACCGTCGCTTTTTTTAGAACTGTGACACCCGTTTTTCCCTTCTCTAGGACAAGAATTGTAAACCAATTACTGCGATGTATAAATATGAAGAATATTTGGAGTTTCCCTCATAAACCTTATCACGCACAGTAACCCAAAAAAAAAGAAATATACTTTTATTTGGTTAATCTGTTGTCTTAACTACCGCTCCTACAGCAGAGTTAAGCCGATAGCTAATAGCGGGGAGGGGGAGGGCAGGTTTAAAAAAGGGGATATTGGTTGCAGCTGAGTCTCTGTTCTTAACCTGAGAAAGTATGATATAGGAAAATGTAGTTTAAAAATAAACTACACCAGTTTAAGCGAAAAATGTTTCAGTAGTCGATATATTGCATCAGAAAATTATACATACTAAAAGATAAGTGTAGTTAGCATAAATGGGTTCGGCTTGACGAGCTTCAGAAATCTCACACAAGCATACTCAAGGTGGTTAAGGGATGATTGAAATGGCTAACTGATGTTATTCCTCCTAATGTTATCATGTTTTTCGAACAAAAAGAAGAAAAAAGAAATACCCCACTGAAAGGGCTGAAGTATCCGCGGTTTTTGCGTTGTACCCCATATATTTTCCCTCATTAGATGCAAACATATTTGCTATCTATAAAGCAAGCTGTATTCTGTACTTAAAATCCACATGTCTTGATACGCGTGCCTTATAGCGCAATAAAGGCCCTCCCAACCCCACGCTTCGACGCATCCGACCACTCATTCAGCAAGGCATAGTATGGTATATCAGACGAAAAGTCCTCCGCTGGTTGCTGCGGCAATTCCGTCGATGCCGTCTCCTTCTCATTTACCCACAACTCATTCCGTTGGGTGTCGTATCGCATGCCAGCTTTGTGGGGAGGGGTAGAAATTGGCTGCGGAGAGCCTTCGTGCTCGGCAGGATAGCTACCCCCAGACAGGGCCGGTGTTTCGGCAGCCCAGTCGGCTAGATGCGACGTCTTCGAGGGCGGGGCCGCCGCCGCCGTGGCCCCTTCCCCTCCATCCGCCGGGGCCTCCGTCAACCCCGAAGCCGTCATCCCCGGGGACCCTCGCAGGCGTCGTACCCGTACGCGATCGGGCTGGGTCTCCCCACGACTCTCCAAGAAGCTCCTTCTTCCCCCCCCTCCTCCTCCTCCCTGTATCCCATCGGGGGCGGCCGGCTTCGGCTTGGAAGAGGCCGTCCCCCGCCGCACCGCGCGACGCCAAAGTCGTGTGCAGCCGCCCTCCTCGAGGGGGTGAACGAGTGGACGAGAGGCCTCTCCGCGATCCGCGGCGTCCTGCACGTAATGGAACATCGGGATATCCGAGGCGGAGAGGTTTTGCCAGGGCGGATGCCGCACCCGCCGCGCAGGGGACCTCGAGGACGGGGATCTGACTCGCCCAGAACGCCCAGACGCCGCCCATTCCACCGCCTCCGCAACCGGAATATTTGGGTTCTCGTTGATGATAAAGCCGTCATAGGAAGTTGACATCAGCGGTGGTAGCAGCGCACGGGGTACCGTCCTCATCAGCTCCCCAATACTCGGGGGTGGGAAAGGGTGTCCTCGTAGCAGGGGCATCCGCACCAAGCACGTTGGATCCGCCTCCCACGGGCCCTGCTTCGTTTGATAGTCCTGGTCGAGCTTATCCGTCTCGTGAGGGTAGCTGCTCCCTAATCGCACACCGCACTCGCTCTCCAGGATCCGCGCACCTGCAAAAGGCTCCGCAGGTTTAAAACGGCTAATTTTTGCCACCCGCTTCGTATGAACATTCCGATACCACTCATTCAATGATTTGGTAGTGAGGACATTAGGCTTTACTTCGATTAAATGCCTTAAAACAATTTGGTTCGCATGTTGGACGGACTCAGCATCCCTTCGGCGTTGAAACATCCTTCGCCTTGCCTGCTCTGCTTTAAGTCTGCATAGAACATTTTCCTCTTCAGGGCTTCTATACATTTGCTGCGCACGGCGCACAGAGTCAGTGGTCTCGATAAGATTGTTTAGTATGATTTGATTCTTTTTGTATAAGACCTTTTCATTTGCCTTAAGTAAACGCATGTAGCGGCTGCTACTTCCTCCGAGAGGTTCCGATCTCCCTAAGGCTTCTTTGGAATGCTCCTTCGCAAAGTCCACATCGGCGGCGTCTTGAATTCCTTTGGAGGAGCTCAGGCGGATACGTGCGAGGCGCTCCATGTGGGAAAGATGCGCCATTCCCACCTCACGCTCTAATGCCGTCAAGCAGGGCCGGGTCGTGGATGGACGGCATCGCGAGGAAGATGGTGGCACAACGCTCATAAGACTACAAGTAAATAATGAATTACCTTTTTTACACCCTCCTCACTCGAAAACGCTTCTCAAAAGTCTGTTCTAAGCATTGAAAGAGAAAAGAGGAAATGGGGGGAACAAGCCATGGCGAATGGAAGGCCATCGCCTTCCCCCTCTGGCAACAGCGGTGGCTCACATTGGTGAGCTACCAAAAAAACAACAACGTGGTATCCAGCTCGAGTGGACCAATCTGCTTGGGATAGGAATGTTAAAAATGTATGGTTCGGTTGGACCCCAAAGAACCCCCTGCGCGGTGGGGATGGGATTTCCCACACTCTCCTTCCCAAAGCCTCGCGAAAAGCATGGGAGGCAAATATGAATCTAATTGCAAACACTCATGCCCACCATGGGTTCTGCTGTTTGTGGAATGGATCCAAAACAAGTTTCAAGAAAACACTCACTTTGACTAAAATTTAGATAGAAACAATAATGATAAACGATGAAGAGACGGTTTCGTGCATAAAACTAATCCTTTAGGATTGGTCGTTAAAGGAAATAAAATAAGTTTTGTGCACAAAAAATAAAAAAATTCTCACAAACGGTATGCACTCACCTGCGCACCCCCAGGGTTTAAAGCTAGTTTGCTCTATTGTAGCATTTAGAGAAATAACATGAACATCAAGTTTAAATCTGGGGGAAATGTAATGGCTTCCCTTTCCCCAGGTTAAATCTATGTAAATCGATGTAGTCTACTTTTTCTATACCGGATGACGGTGTAGCGATCGCGTCAACATGGGCGTCTTCCTCGTTTACACACTCCCACAAGCTCTCCATGGATTTGGAATTCTCTTTACCACTCAACACTTGCTGATCAAAGCCAACACCAATAGCCTCTACTAACAGATGTTTTTTAACTTCTATTCTGCGACTACCATCAATTGGCGCATTATCAGGAGTGGATGGAAGTGTCATCCTCCCATTTTCGCTCATGGATCGCAGGTAGTTTAAGAAGCGATCGTAGAACCCACCTCCCTTTCCCAGGCGTAGGCCTCCAAGCCACTGAAAGCACACTCCAGGAGTCAGCACGACAACATCCACGTTACTGACCTCTGAACCCCCATCAAGAAGATAAGTCCTTTGCAAGTCGGAGGACTCACGATCACCATCGTTGTGGTTCATTCGGAGATCCATGGTGAGATTCTGATAATTATACCCACCACCCCAAGGCCATAAAAGTCCTGGAGGTGGCAAGTGCTCTGGAAATAAGCTCTCCCAGTCTCCGCAGGGTAGAATTCGCCGTGGATGTCGTGAGTTAGGACCTGTCGTGCCTGGGAATACATTACTGTGACTTCCCCATCCTTGGTTTACGACCCTGCGTCTCATGAAAAAGGACTCGAATTCACTGCTTTTTAGCTCACGCAATTTCAGTGGGCCACAGATTTCAAAGGAGTCTCTCAAATCCTTGGCATCGTACACCTCCACTAAAGTCATTCCTCGGCGTAGTCTAATATGCGCATCGGTAACGGGGTGGTGCCACTCTGCGTAATGCGTTGACAATTCCTCCGGTGACTTGGCTTTCTTCAGCTTCGACCCCACACCAATGGGATCCACGACCACTGGCACCATAGTAAAGACTTCTGTAGGCGCAATGGAAGAATTGGATGCCACACCCCATTTGACGCCAATTTCACTCGCCTCGCGCCAAGACCAAAGTCGATCTAGTAGTGGTAGGATATCTACTTCATAATACAATGGAAGAGTGGCGCAGACATACAGCTGCCGTCTTTTCACTGGGAAACCATCGAAGCCTAGGGGCATTGCAGACGCTCCTGCAATCGCTCTGTTTTCGAGAGTAGAACTCTCATATTTGGAATTAGGTGTAAAAAGGTACTTGTCATGTAAATAATTGAACAGGGCATCACATACAGTAATGGAATATTTCTGGCGTTCGTCTGGGCAAGAAAGAGCCCATGACCGAAGCTTCTTCAAGAAATGAGAGCGCATTGCCTGCTTTGCGGTAACACAATCAGACAACTTTGGGGTAAGCGAATACATATCTATAAATGGATTATATGAGAAATATGGTCAAAATCGCCTCACAGCCATCATATTATCTCTATGTTATAATGTAAACTAAAATCAGCTATCCCTATTGAAGTGTAATAAACCGGAAAAGGCGATATGAGTTGTCCGTTTTTATTAATATTAGCATTCCATGATGTGTTTCATACCTAACGAATCCCATTCGATACATGAGACAAAAGAGAATAAGAATTTGAAAAATCTAACGATACCTTCTTTCATCCTAGCACATCACCAACAGATACACCTATATATATAGATTGATAGATATAGATATAGATATACACATGGCGAAAGGAAAACGAATATAACAGTTTGCTATATTATAGTTTCCGCCAGCTTTGTAAAGAAGGGCCTCAGAAAAGCTGTCTCCTCCCACATTTCTTGCTTGGTTCGCGGGATCCGAGGAGACAGATTTTCATCACTATCTGGAGACACACCCAGGTCCTCCGGAGAGCTGAAGGGGATGATATGGGTGTGAAGATGGGGCACTGTCTGCCCTGATTCAGTGCCTTGTTGAATAGCCATGCAATAGCTCACATTCTCCCATCTCTGCAGCGGAGCATCGCCTCGACGATTGCGATTGTGAACCTCATTCAGAACACGAAAGGTCAAGACCATCGTTTGACCCCAGTCCTTGACCTCCTCATCGGTGAGACCATGAATAGTCCCCACACAACGCAAGGGAACCACCATGAGGTGGTGTGGAAGGATCGGCTTGAGGTTCACCATCACACAGAAGTACTCGGAGCGGTATGGAATGCTCGCCTCGACCGAGACTGCATAGGGGTAAAAAGTGAAGACGTTGCTCGCGTTGGGTGAAGCAAGGGAAATCGTCGCGTTCACCACTGATCTCCTTCGCGCCTCGTCGTCATTCCCGAGGGGGTCCTGCACGAGTTTGGCCTCGGGCGTCGCTGTCGCAGGGCTGCCCGGCGGCCACCCCACCGCCTCCAAGGCCTCCTCCGCAGATTGCGGGAGCTGGCGCTGGGCGTCCCCGAGGAATTCGGGGAATCCGTTAATCCCAGAGGACCCCCCGGGCTCAGCCTGGTAGCACTTGAGACAATCATAGAGGAGATTATTCGGGACAAAGTCCCCCGCGGCCCGCTCAACGACATGCAGGTAAGCCAACCTTCGGACCGCGGCGTCCGGCCCGTCTTGCGAATTCGAGGCAGATACGGAGCACGAGGAAGTGCTCGGGTTACCCTGAAAAGAGAAGTTGAAGGATCCCGTAGGATAGGTAATAGCACGGCAAAGCACGAGGAGCGAGGTCATGTCCTCGGGCACAAGGTTGTCGATGCTGAAGTAATGCTTAGCCACCGAGGAGTCGGATTTCGTCTCTGAAAGCAACGATGTCTGACGTTGTTGTGACAATTGTTGGAGAAAGTACTGGTAACTCGCGCAATTGTCGACGGCAGTAATAATGAAGTGACGGTCGGGTAGTATTTTGGAGACAGCCATACAGGAAGGCAACTTTGCTGCACGCATTTCCCACCTCTCAGATGTTATTTGCTGTTCTACACAATACTGTGAAGGGGTATCACCCTTTGATCTATATTTTTATATGTATATTGAAATATATTAATATATATATATATATATATACGTTTCTGAGTTGCGTCCCTTTAGCATATCGTTTTCATTTCAGTAAATACATAGTAAATTAAGTACTTGGATCAAAGTGAAAAGTGTCCAAGAGAGACCTTCAGTTGCTTTTCATTTCTTTCAATACCATTAACATGCTCAGCCACTGCAAATTTAATTTGTCAAGGGCTTCTACAAAATCTCCACTGCGAAAAAGTTGAAAGTGTTAATAACAAAAACATGATAAAATATCCTCAAAAATATTAAAATTTAGCAGCTACCATTCGGATGAAACCTTAATGCATCATAAGCTTCCCTTTCTTTAATGAGTGTAGCAATTAAGACGGACTGTTGCGCCTGGGTCAACATTGCACATGAGCGAGAGGAAATTTCATTTGGAGTCATCACCATAGTGAAACTAAAATTCAATGGTGGGCAAAACTGAATACTTTCCAAAGGGAAATTATCCGCGCTTTTTTGCCTGTCCTTGGATGCATTCATCGTGGAAGCATAGGACGGCCTTGAGTCCCCTGATGTTGAGTTCAGCTCCTTTGTATCACAAATGGCCTCCACATCCCTAGAAGAGCCATTTGTTCCTGGAAGGGGCTCTGAGGATTGGTTCAGCCGCTCTTGCCTAAAGGCATTGTTACGTTCATGGATAGTCTTCTCCAACCAACGGCGAATATAGCGAGCCACTTGCCTCTGACGGCTGATGTCGCCCCCGTAGAGATCTTCCCGAGTTATCATTCTCCTAGAATTTGCTGAGCTATCAGAGTTTGCTAACCCTCTATTTCCATTAGCATAGTGAGGTTGTGAGGAAAAAGATGCAACAGATGGCTCATCTGGAACAGATGGTATCACACAAGCTAATCCGGGCTTCAGAGCATTTGCATCTAAAAGAGCATAGAGGGAGCACAAATGTGTATCACTGTCATGGCGAGGAGATAGGACACTTTGCAGTTGTTCCATCCCTTCCAATAACTTTGCGCCTTGATCGTAGCGATCCTCATAGTAGAATACACGCTGTGGTTTCCACCTTAGAATGAGATCCAAAAAAGTGTTCAACTTGTATTCTACAGTCCCTGGCCCCTCGTACGGTTTGAGGAAGACATGCTCGATATGCCGAAGCAAGCCTATGTGATCCAACAAACACTCGATACGGCTCCTAAACCCCTCATGACGACCTGTCAAGACGAAAAACAAACGCTTCGCCACATCAACATCATTAGTGTGCTCTTGAAAACAAATCGCAGGGGACACGTGCTCACTTCGTTTATCTGGCATAGCATTACACGAGGAAACTTTTCCCTCGATAAGACTACGAAACCAGTTAACGACAGGAGTTACATACCATCGCGACTCAGCAGGCTCGGCAGGCACAGCCGGCGGGGACAAGGTGGACAGGCTCTGATACCATCCGAATCCTCCCGTAGACAACGACCCCTGAAGTCTCCCAAACATAAATGGGTCATAATTTGAGCGAAGAAAACGTCTGTTTGGCGTTGGGGAGAAGAATAATGTCCCATCAAAGTCAAAAATATGAATCTCCATGCCCTTACAGTTACCTTAAGTGAGTAATGTTAAAGTTGAAGACGAAAAGGCAAGGCATTTGCACGCATTGCATTCAGCAAAAGGGAAGAATTCGGGTCGATAATCTGTTGTAATTGTGATTTTTTAACAAAGGCAAAATAGCGCCTATTAAAGGAAACATTTTATACCTCCACATTCACATGTCATAAGTGATCAAGACTATTATTTGATTCATATATTAGGGTATTCGATAGCTATAGGTATTCATTTATTCGTATAACCCAACAATCTTCTTGTGCTAAAATACGATCATGCTTACACACACTGGAGCACACTGCGAAAAATAAGCAGGATAGCTTGAGAAGATTTCAAAGGAAGAGAAACTATGGATACAGATAGGAGGAGGAACAACAGGATCGTCTGAATGTCCAAAATAACTTTCTACCACACCATAACATCATTCGTTTTCCCCTCAAATGTCCTCATCCGCCATAACGTGAAGCCCATCCGAGGCAAACGGGGAGCGATTGAGCTGCTCCAGCAGGGCATCCACGGCCGCTGTCACCTCACCGTCCTGCTCAAGCGTGTCCACATCATCGAGCTGCCTCCGCATCTCCGGACGGCTTTGCTTTTCAAAGCAAAGTACCACGATCTTCTCTCGAATCATTTGATGGACGCGGGCAAACCCAACGGAGGATATTGCCACCACCCACTCCTCGACCCATTTCCTGCGACGGGAGCCCTGGGTGCGCGTGCTGACGATAACTAGCAACCCCCCCTCCTTCAGACTCAGATAGGCGTTCACACAGGCCCGGTAGCGTAGGCGGGCCGAGGGCAGGTATGACAAAAACAAGCAAAAAAAAACCACGTCGAACGACTCAAGGGCGATCGCCTGGACCTCCCCCACACCCCCTGAGCCCTCGGTGGGGGGATCCCGGTATCGCAAGTGGGGCGCATTGCAGCCGTCATCAACGGTGCAGCTCGCAGGCCTGTGGAGTGGCCATTTGAAAAACGCCACGCTCAGCCAGTCGCCCTTCCAGACCCTTCCAGACAGCTGCGCGCAGCCCTCGAGAGGGCGATCCAGGCTCGGGTGTGCGTACGGGCAGAGGTCCAAGGCAAAAACGTGTAGGGAGACGGAGCCCAGGACATGGTGCGAAAACGACTTCCCGAAAAACGGGCCGTAGCAACTGCCAACATCGATGGCGTGCAGGGCGGGAACGCTAGAAACGGAGTCGTCTGCTTCGGATGCCCTCTTCGCATTCCCCACATCACGAGCCCTCTGCATGAGGCGGACGTACCGCATTGATTGATCCCAAGCTGTTCGAGGTGTAAAAGAATGCTTCGCGTACGTCGGTTCGCCTGTTGTAGGCCTCACGTTGTCAGTCTCGCAAGACAACTGGAGTATTCGATCCTCAATTTCGGTCTTGGTGGCCATTCGCGCATTTTTGCAAAAGAAATCACGCCGCCAAGGCTTTAGAGCACGTGAGAATAGCAAGGGCAGCTCATCAAAAAGCAATTGGGGCCCTCTCCCCACCCCACCCGTGGACGCACGTCCAAGATAGAACGCCTCAACACAGTCCAACGAGCATTGGATCCGGTCATCATACCGGCGCTGCCGAATGGCTTCCAAGAGGTTTCGATCGACCCTTTCGTCTACAACATTTGTCGAAGCCGTGCTAGAATCTCGCGAGCGCTTCCGGCTCGGAATTGCATCTGTGGATTCCGCTACTGTTTCAGCTAATGGTGCTCTGCTAGCAGTAGTCGTAGGAGAGCTGCATTCTTGATCTTTCTTCTCACACTCTCCTAAGCTATTTGAATTTATTGGCTTCGGTGAGGGAGCCTCCCAATACTTGGTCGCGAGATAGTGCATGGCCCGTGCGTATTCCTGCAACCTTTCTGCTTCTCCTTGGGAGTTGATAAGGCTCTGCCAACACTTTAGATCATTATCGCTAGCTTGGCTATTGGGCTTGTGGTACACGTCGTCTCCGTGTGAACTTTCCGAAGTGCCTGATCGGCAATTGTGCTTCAGGGAGGAGGAAAACGCGCGCTGGAGGTGATAGTGTTGTTGTTTGATGTATCTGGCCCATGCCAAATGAGGTCTGTCAGGGTCGGGAACGAGCAAAGGGAGCTCATTGTCTTCCACTTTACTTTCCCCTTTGCAATCCATTCGATATGCGTCGGTGTGATGGTCCATCAACAACTTTTCTAGACTACTTTCTATCGAGAGAAAGGTAAAAAAAGAGAATCGGAAACATAGATTAAGCGCGAAAAGGAACTGTTAACAAAATGTAGTTCATTAACAATTTGATTTTCCCTTGATGTTGGGGCTTCTCCTCCGATTGCGAAAAAAGCATTGTCTCGTTGTGTTCCGTAATAGCAAATACTCACCACACAAGCAGAAAACCCTTCTCTGGACAAAGGCTGATTTCATAAACAGGAAAAAAGGATCATTAATCCATGTACTGGCTTCCATCAAATGAATCACATACCACATCTAGATCTTTTCGATTCAGTAACTCCTGAATGCCTTCAATAGAATCCACAGTGCTACAGACATTGATAGACCTAAGAGACTTGCAGGCTACCATAAAGTTGACATCCCTTACAGACGTCAGTTTAATATCTAATTCCTCTAGATTCTCACACTCCGCAAGATCGGCAATACCTTCATCTGTAATGGATGTTTGCGCACAAAAGATGCGCCGAATTCGAGGGCACGTCAGTAGAACATTCAGATCGGAAATATGAATACATCTAGTCAGCACCACCGTATCCAGCTGGGGTGCGTCCTTGAGGGCTAAGATCCCGCAATCGGTCAGACTAGATGCCGGTGCGTCCAAGACTCGAAGAAATTGCATTGACCCGAGAAAGGAAATGTCCTCTACAGGGGTGTTGGCCACCCGAAAGAGTTCTAAGTTCCGGCATGCAGTAAGCACATCAAGGCCGTCAATCAACTCCGCCTGTGAAACGTCTAAGAAGCGTAGCTGGTGCAACATCCCTAGAGACTCAAAGCCGTTCAATTTTCTGCAGTTTTCTAATGACAAGTATTCTAAGCTGTTTTCCAGAAATGGGGTAATTTGGTCAAGAGTTTCACTACGGATTGGTGTGTCAGAGAGCTGGAGCGTGTTTAGATTTGATACTTGATCCCTCTGCGTAACCAACGCGAGAGCACTATCAATGTGAGTACTACAAAGAGACAGCACACGAAGATGGGGACCAAGGTTAAGTAGGAAGAAGTTGGAGGTGTCGTCGTACGCATTGCAATTCTCAATGGTCACCTCCTCCAGCGATGCGGCGGTCTCGCTGGCGATCTCGTTGAGATCGCTCAGTCTATGACAAGAGCGGAGAATTAGACTCTTGAGTGAGGGGAGACAAAGATCCTGAACGCCATCGGGTTCCAGCGGACAGAAAGCCACCTCAAGCCTTTCAAGCTTCTTCATGAGACTAATATTCTTGATGGAGGTCAAGCCGCGACATGAGACTAGCTCTAATTCTTTTAAATTTGATAAAGTAGCGAGAGTCTCAAAGGAAGAATTGTCAATGTGTGAGTAATGAAGTACCAGTTTGGTGAGGCCGTTGGCGACGCGTGTGTGGTAGCGGCTGAGTACCCTCGCACTTACGTTCTGAAATTTACGTCCGATGGGCGAAATTGAAATCAACTTAAAGCAACTGTTGCCCTTGTCATCTTCCTGGGCATTGAAAAGCACACACTGGCCGTAGCATGACAGCATCACTTCATTGTAGCCAGACCACGGGCTTTGAGTGCTTTGCACACCCCTACGAAATGGTTTGGAGACGCACCGCATCGCAGTGAGAGTGCGCCGATTGAAAGGGATGTACTTCATTATGTCGTGCAACATCTCGATGTTATCGATGGCCCCAACAAATGGGTCCATTGGTGATTGAGAAAGCATTTTATGTTAATTTCTATGCAACTTGTCTTTGCGATTTAAAGCGATCAAAGAATCAAACCCTCTGTGGAATATTGAAGAATTCAATTATTTTTTACAGAAAAGGGCGTAGCTAAATAGTCGAAAAAAAGAGAGAAGATGCTAAAGGCTAACACAAAGTACAAAACTCACCTATTTAAGTAACAACGCATGTTTCCCAGCTGCTTTGGACCATTAAATCCTCCCTTTGTAGGGCCCCACGATATTTGAAGCAACATATTCACTGGCATGAATGAAATACGATGAGAGAATAATTTCTTAATCAACTAGCATGCAATGTGCTGCGCATTATGAAATGAAAAATAAGATTACGGACCCTCCCGGTGTCCTATGTAAACCGAACCCCTTTTTTCCGGGAGAGGGTGGAGGGGGATAAACTAATGAGGCCGCTAAACCAGATCTCCGATTCCTTAACCTGGACATTAAGGCAGGGAAATTCAGCTACCCTCGCCTATGAGTTGAATTGCAGAGAACATCATTTTTCGTAAACGCGCAAGTCCTCTAATGATGTAATTCTCACTAACACTGCTAGTGAGTAATACCATATATGGATGAATACCCGTACCTTGCTTCGCTGGTCCATGGAATGATAAATCCGCATACATGCTAAGCACCACTTTGCTCTGGCACATCCTGCTCCTCATGAACATGGGCCCCTGCAAGTGTCGAAGCCGCTTGCACTGCAGGCCCCTGTCGTGGCGACTACCCAAGACTTCACTGCTTGATTGATGAGTTGCTACTCGGAAACGGCTATAAACACCACCGTTTACCTATCTAGTGATCCAGACATCGGTTCTGAATTCAGATGCATCCATTTTTTAATATTAGGTCCATCATTAACGATAAGTTCATTTTGGTGGAGGTTAGGCCTGTTCCGTGATTACCCTCTAAAGACACTCTGTGGAATACAATGGAACTCCATACAAGGAACGCAACTTGTGCGTCTTTGAGAGCCAACGCCACCTTTCACAGGAGGAATGGGAGAGATAAAATGGAAAGAGGGCGATAGAAAAATCTAAGCCCTCACGACCTGCAAATCTAAGATTGCACTTGTAATAGTAATGAGAAAAATAATTACTAAAATTGTACGAAGTCGTTCATCATCATTTATATGTATACTTTTTGGAAGACTCGACAATTTAATCGAAACCACGCTCGAGTTAAAAACATACAAATCAAGTGTTTTTACATTACTTCCCGCCTATCACACTGTGCCACGCAATAGTTTCAAATATAATTGGCATCACAAAGTTGACGTTGACATATACTATGAGCAGCCAACTTAAGCAACTACAATGCATTTAGCAAATCCACAATTTATCAGTCCAGTCGATAATGGAATAATATATATACCCTAATTTTCTCTTAAAATTGAAAGAATATTAGTAACAAAACAAATCCGAGATGTATATTTCGGTGTTTGTAGCTTTACTGCTTTCAATTTCAAAAAAATAGCAAATTGGCGCACCTACATTCAGTTTCATTCTCTAAGACCCATCCCTAGGGATACAAAAGCTGAGAGAGCAAAGGGAGGTATGTAGGTCGGTCAAAAAGTCATAACAGCCTTGCATTGACGGTTCAACGCGCGTGTCAAACAGCGAGGCTGGCGGAACCTTCACCTTCATGTATTCCTCATACGGCCTCACAGAAACACCGGTAAGATCACCCAATGTCATATAAAAATCTAACGGTGTGCTCAAACGGTTCATTCGATCGTCGAAATTTTTCATGGATTCACCTGCGGAACGTCCCTTGCGCAGATCCACGCGCCGCATGACTTCGGGGTGCATAATGTACAGCATTGCAGGCGTCGTGCGTTCGAATTGGCCAGCGTTAGTATATTCAAAGTATGGCCCCATGTGATTCCCGTGGTCACCAGCAAAGATGAAAGTGTTGAGCGGATCGTCAAAGAAGCGTAGATCCTCCTCAAGGTGACGCATAAAATCAACCAGAGCATCATCAACCAGCCTGATTACACCGTGCGATCCCTCATGCGCCTCCAAAAAGTACGAGAGGTCAAAAAAGTACTTCCCCTTCTTCAGGCTTGCGTTACAAGGCCTATCGTGCGAGTCCATTCCATCTTCACACCTCGTCGCGTCCGCCCTCTGACGGATCTGGCGCCGTAGCAGGTACTTCGTGTAATCCAAAACATGCTCGTGTACTTGACGGCCGTCGATGCAGCGTCGGAAAATGCTATAGGGGCCCTCGAAGTTGCTGTGTAGCCCGGAGTACTCCAAATGACACAGGGGCTGGTAGAGATAGTAATCTACCCCCTGAAGCGGCCCACCAGACCCACTGCTGGCCTCCCGGTTACCAACGAGGGCCTCAAAGAAGTCGTGACACGACCCCACCGTGAATGCGGTGCTGATTGCAGGTCCGTATTTGCCCTTCGCGATGTTGAAAATGGTTCGATTCATCATATCAATGTTCAACTCCCTGTCATACCCCATTCCCACAATGGTAGTCCCGGTAAGATAAGGGCATAGGTTCCCAGCGGTGCTAAAGCCCAGGGTGCTGATTCCCTTAGGTTCGAACACGCGATGTGACTCAGTGCCGCTGCTAAGTCGGCGTTTCTGGAAGTTGCGTACCCATTTCACAAAGCGTGGAAGCGACCGGCGTGCTCCTTGGCGACTCAGTGCATCAATCAAAATAATAAGAACGTTGCCAGCGGGCTCATGAAACTCTTCAGTGACCTTATCGGTGACAACAGATTTCTGGTCGTGTGTTGTGTTGGCTTCATTGGTATCGTTAACACCCCAATCTCCATTCGCATTACTCTTCACAGGAAATAAAAAAAACTCTTCGTGTTTCATCTCTTGGCAGCGTACCATGTATGCGGCTGAGCGCCCCAGGGGAATCTCCAGCACCTCCTTTGACGGCCATTGAAGACGCACAACTAACTCCCTTAGGTGTGGGGCCTCACGCCTGACTGGGGTTAACTTCGACGGCGCGATTTCCACAGCAGAAATAAATCCGGTCTTAGAATTGCGGTGCACGATCACCCCCTCCCTCGCTGCCTTCTCTGGGGTTCCGTATTTGGCCTCTAGCTCGGCATGATACTTCTTGTCGCCGGTAACGATCTCATCCATCGATGTGTCCACTTGTCCATTCATCTCGCTGTTCCCGGGACACTCCAAAAAGACCCTTGGCTTGCTGCCATCGCGGCACAACGACGATACGACTAGCATTTCCGTCATCTCATCAATGTAGCCGATATTAGACCCCCTTTTACGATGGCACCCCTGACGGCCTCTAAAACGCTCAACCAGTCTCCAAGGTATCATATCTGGCAACACCCACGACCTACGGAGTGCTGGATTCAACCTCAGACCTTCCACCTCGCACGGATCGCACGATGCTTCTAGGATACCTAAACGCAGACTCGAGATCGTGTCCATAGACCATATTGAGAAAAATATGGAAGACAGTACTAACATTACCGAACCAACAGAAATCCCGACAGTAATAATGAGCACCCAACGGTACAACTTTCCGTTTCGAACTTTAGAAAGGGCGTGTTTTAACGGAACCCATAACAAATGGTACAAACACAGTAGTGTTGAAATCAACCATACGGTTCCGTCTATGAAAACCCTTATCAAGCCTAGCAAAATCTCCTGTGATTGTCGATGCTTAGAAGGAACTGCCCAATGAACGAAAATGTGAATTCCTAATAAGAAGAAGAATGCTAAAAACAACAATCGCAGTGAATTGATTCTCTGCTGCGGTCGTAACTTCTTCGACTCCACATTCCCTGTAAGCGGTTTGACAAGTTTAGCATGAGAATTCGAATTGGATGGGATTGATTCTTTCAAATGATTTTCATGTCGGACAGACCTTAGACGCATTAAAAAGGCACTACCAATACGCGTCATGTTAGCGACTACAAAGTGAAGTTGCCCTGTATAGTGTAGATCAAAAAATAGCATATGCGCTATCGAAGCTGTTGCGATTGAGAGTAACTCCAGCAAAAGAAGTGGTGTTCCTGAATTACGAACAGAATAAAACTTCGCTAACAATATGCTCCATGACAGACTAAAGAACAATCCACCTCCAACAAGGCCCAGGAAAAAGTCCACCCCTCGAGGCGTTATTGATTGCCTTTGGTATCTTGTAGGCCTCATGAATCCCGTATAATCCAGCTTAGTACGATCAGCTAAACTTTTAGTAACTTTAACGCCTGTATATTGCTGACTAAATTAATACTGTTTTGTTAAATGAAATTTAATGAAGTACTGTTAAGTTATCCTTTATCATAAATAAAATTAGAAAGGGGGCAAGGCAGAGTGAAACTTCATAGTAGTAATAGAGAAGAAGATAGACAGTAAAGAAAAATTATTCATAAAAGAGAAAGCTTTACCAATTTCACAGCTTACAAAGTGAAGCAGTAGTAAGAACCATTTTCGAAGATCATTTCATTTTTGAAGTCCCAATCGGTTGTGGAATAGCACGCAAATCTTATGTTAGCATCCACCCTCCAAAGAGCACGTTAAGGACTTACTCCTCCTTGAGCGCACGCCATGTTTTCGGCTTTCATCATTACAAAATTCGCTTCTTAATTGTAGAAGCACCAATGCAAAAAAAAGTGCAACAAATACATTAAGGAGCATGATGTCTAGAATATGTTAGTATTCTCACAAAATGGAAACTACAAAATAATCTTTTCAACAAGTAAAGAACGATAGAAAACGTGTTTCGTTTAAATCAGAATATCCATCATCCAAAAAAAAATGGCAAAGCGATAACGGAACAAAAAGAAAAGCGTTATGGTGGTTATAGGAGTTAGGGTGTCTAAAGCACGTGTATATCTAAGAGGATGTGATTCTTACTTTGTGAACAATCGCATTCAACCTTAGTGAAGAAGACAACCGCGCTATACACCAATGATACGCATTCCTTGAACGCAATACGCTTAAACTAAAAGTTGGAGTCCGATAGAGAGCTACAGATCATTAATCAAAGTCGTGTCGAAATAAAAAAGAAGTGACAAAGGAACTTTAAGAGTGTAAAACAGTATACTTAGCGCTTCTAGATAAGATAGCGAAACATTATTCCTGTTTTATCACTCCTCGGATTCTACAGTTGATGGGTAGAGAATAGAACAAAGACCTGCTAGTAGAGGGGTAGGAACCCCTTTTCGACAGAACCTCTGCACCACAGCATCTGTTCCCGCAAGCTGTTGTGCTAACACATCTCTCTCCTCTAAAAGCTCACCTAATTCCTGTAAAGAAGGGATGTTTGTGGGGGGTGCTGTTTTCGGCTCATCTTGCATTTCCTCTAGCCCGCGTATCGGCGACCTGCGACGAGTAAGATTAGAGTAGTGATTCTCATGGGCTTGCATAACTACCCCCTCCAAAGATTCGACTTCATGACGAAGGCTGCTAAGAAGTTGCTTAAGACTTTCCGGTATCAACACCGAGCCTGTTTGGTAGAAGGGCGACGGTGCTGTATTTCTCTTACGAGTTTCTGAATGCGGCCTCGAGGTGCTACACGGTTTTCGGGAAGAGCTTCCCGCTACTCGTGAACCTACCGGCGGAGCATCCTCCTGTGCAGCATATCGAACATCGGTAGCTGCATGAACTATTTTTTTTCCAGGTGCTGGTAACTCCTGAGCCTCGCTACTGGGCACTGCAGAGTCTTTACCTATCGAAAAAGACGCTGGATCATTACTGATCTGTTCTTTTGGTTCAACAACATTATTGCTAGTGGATGCACCACGTATTTCGGAGGACTGGGAAGGTCTCCTGTTCCCACGCCGGAGATCAGACGCCTCTTTTTCCAAACGCTTTTGTTCCAACAAGATAATGGAACGATTTAGCTTTACTCCCTCAACCTTTCCAGGCTCTTGATGTATCCTCTTTTCTAATGCACTTTTAGAGTACTGTGCCAACACTTTCGACATAAATTGATAAAGCCATTGGAGGAGCTTCACATGATCTTGGAGCTTTCCCATGGCCAAGCGATCGACATCGATTTCAAACTTGTGCTTGGGAGGAACGCACTCACGCAACATTTCCTGAAAAATAGTCATGTTGTTACGGCACGCGTTCCGCACAGAAGCAGTATCCAGAGAAGGATCAATATTCTCGCAGACTATAGCCGTGATGCTCAAGTCGACCCTCGAAAGTAGCGCAGATGCACGGCTCGCACGCGCGGTCATGCGATCTGCATCCGCTAAGCTAAAAGAAGAACAATTATTTGCGATGCGCTTTACGGTGGCTTCTATTATCGTGCAGTATGAAGCCCCATCACGAAGCGATTCAACCGCAGGATACTCGAAATTACAGAGGTTATTCAACCAACGAAGCAGCTCACTTCTCCCTCTGGGATAACTGCTGTGTTGCATTTCCACGTCTTTGACACGCAAATCTAATAGACAAAAATGTGGAAGTCAAAGGTTGTACCAATATAAAATATGAGGATATGCGGCAGCGTTCCTTCAGTGTTCCTCGTTTCAGCCTAAACGTTTTTTGGAGGCTGAAAATCCATAGATTCTACGCATAGAAGCACTCGGATTGAATATCAAAAGAGTCGTCACATGAGAAATGCAAAAAAAAAAATGATAATCCTATTTGAGTACACCAGCAGACTGCATCCTTCCTCCTACGCCCCCTCACACATATGCCCACATACACACATGTATATCATTCACAAGAAACGAAAAAAAGCGCTGCGTAGATGCTTTACTACACAAAGGGGTTAAACTCTGCTTCGAAGTCCACATCTTCCGTGTCGTCGGTGTTGTGAGAAGAAACTTCGATCGTTTCCCTTATCCGCTCAGGCGCTGTTGCGTGCTCTATCGGTAATGAAGTCTGTGCAGTGTAAAGTGGGGGATGTGTTTCCTCACCCGCTGCCATTGTTGCTAATGACATTGCCTTGTCGACCTCGAAATCCGAAGCGAGAGCAGTAGGAAGTGGGCTGTTATGTGATGGCATTCGATTAGCTGTGCTGGAACTAGGACTAAAATGATCTGCATTACAATTTGAATCCTTCATTCGTGCTCGAATATCACTCCGGTCGCCCCCCTGTGGGGAGTTATCCGAGTGAACATCGCTAAGCTGCTCACTAATGTGGCTAGTTTCATTCTCACTAGCTGATGCAGTGGAGAGGATTGCATGAAATCCATCATCAGAATCACTGGTCTGAAGATTAATATGTGTACTGCTTGATGAATATATCGTTTTCGGACAGAAATCACTACCTATGCCCATGTGCGGAATCACGAGGTGTTTCGTGCTATCCCCTTGATTGGAATCGGTTTTGCATGTCGGATTACTCTGAACAGATACACTATCATATGCATCCTCCATCGGGGCCTCCTGCTGGAATACGACGGGCATTGCGTTTGATAGTTGGGGGACTAAACCCGCAATATTTCCGGGAGAAACATTCAGCTGAGCACAGCCTATTTCTTCACTATGGTTTGCCTTATCAGGTTCCTTTAAGAGGCCTGTGCCCATACTTAAGGGGAGATCTGTCCGCATTTCCTCCATACCGCCACCCGCACTTCCTTCCACCGATGGCTTCCTGTAGGCATATCCCGAAGATGAGTCCGCCAAGTTCATCGTAGTTCCATTGTTTTGAGGCAAAAACAGCTCCGTACTCCATCCCTCTTTGAACCCTGAACGTTGTGATGAATACGTGACATCGATATTGGAGTTAGGGTTGTGAATAGAAAGCGTCGGACCCTCAAAAAGTTCAGTGAGTGCATCTAATTGATGCACTTGTGCTGTGGTTTCCTTCACAGACCCTTTCCCCATTTCGACAAGGATATCCCGAATGAGACGCACATCGTCTTCATCGAAAAACTCACCATCAGAAGATATATCGGTAGCCTCACCCAAGCATGCTTTTGCCAGTTCATTGTATTCACTTAAAACATTTCCGTATAGTATAAGCAGTGCATCGACCGCAGACCAGCATTTAAAATAGGTCTCGTTTTCAAAAACAAATGCTATTTTTTCCATTTGATTGAATTTTCTGGATGCATCCCCAGCCGACTCAGATAACCTCTCTTGTGTACAATCAATTGCAACACTGGAGTTAGTGGACCTAACTCTTTCTTCCATAAACATAATTCCCTGTGGCGGTGCGAAAAGGCTTTCCTCCATTGTCACCATTTTATCCTGAGGCACACAGTTGGATGCGTACAGGCAAAAAGGTGCCCATGTTTGATACCACGCTACCAGGTCATCTAATAGCGTGTTCGCGCACTCAGATAAAATTTCTGTACGTCCCTTCTCTTCAAGATGCATTAAATCCTCAAACATATCATCGTGAATTTCATCATAAGTTTCTGAGCCGTCTTTGTTGCCTAAAAGTTTTGCTGCAATCTTTACACAGCCAATATCATGTTCTTGTTCATCACAGGCAAGAAACGGTGACCCATCGGTTTCCGTTTCTGCATCACATAATTCCCTAGATGCGGATACACCGCTGGTATTCGCTTCCGTAAGATCAGCCTTTTGAGGCACTCCTTGAGTACAACTTAGGGCTTCCTTGAGCTTGAAATTGTCCTCTTGCAGGCTCTGAATCTCAGACCTTTGCCCTACTAACTGCTCATTCATATAGGTAAACAGTTCCGCCCTACTGCGCTCCATCTCGTTGAATGCGTATTGGCGGTCGGCCTCGGAAGCCTCCATTTGCTCGATGTGATTCTCGTATAATTCTAGGCGCTCTAGTAGCATCCGTTCTTGTGGATTGGGATTTCGGATATTTATTCGACGTAGTGAGTGAATATCTAGGCTAGGATGAGAAGGATCTTGAGGTTGATGGCGTCCTCTCAGAGGAGGTGCAGCAAGAGTACCAGTATTGGATTCGTCTGGGTGCATACTCTCACCCTTCATGTACTCTTGCGATAATACCACGGACTGAGCTGGGATTCGAAGAAGCGACCCTCTGATGCTTTGCCCTTGGTTGTCATGCGCGCGAACCTGAGGACCCGCCGCAGCGGCATCTAATAATGAACTTTGGGAAAAGTTGTTAACAAGTTGAAGGGCCCGTTGTGAACGCCCAAGCTCTAAGAGCTCGGCTTCTAAATAATTGCATTTCTCACGAAGCTTCAGATTTTCATGAATGCACAGCCTCCTTTCATCTTCTGTTTGTTTGACTAGTCTTTGTAGGGTACTCTTCTGATCCCTGAGTGTGCTGACGTGGGACCTCAAGGCTGGAATGTCAATAAATTCCTCTTCCACAGCCGCCTTGCTAGTTGCGCCTGCATGACGAATCCTTTCCTCCTCATCCTGCTGTGACACAATGCTCGAATAGAACGCATTTACCTCCATCAACTCAGAAACTTTTTGTTCAAGTTTTGCTATTTCTTCGTTTTTTTTAGCCAATGTAGCAATTGGTACAAGAGTAACGGCGGAATTATCGTGCTCATTGGGATTTGATCCTTCGTTTAGTTGATGTTGGTTACCTAAAGGGTTGCTACTTGTTCTTTTGCCGACATCCTGAGTCCCTGTGGGAGAACTTGGGCCATTGACAGAACCGACGTCCATATGATGCTTGGGGTCCTTGGTATCCTTTCCCACTTCCTCAAAGCGTTTTATGAGCATACTAATTGTCTCTTCATCGCTTGCAGATTTCTCAGTTAAAATAGTGTTGTGTTCACGCAACGCTCTGATTTCGTAGTTTGCATCCCGTAGTGTACCTTGAAGCTGGGAAATTTGCTCCTCTAGATTCCTTACCGCTCCATCTGTCGATTGTACAGGCCTTTGCAAACGTTGAATATCCTGCCGCAACTGCTTCACGATATCTATCAGCTGCTCCTTGGTAGCATCTTTGATATTTAATCGATTCATTGGGCTTGAGACACAAAAGGGATAAAAGGAAAACACTACATATGCAACTGTTATAATAAACCCACATGCATAGTTATGTAATCACGCATCCATTTATTTTTACAATAGCAAGGAAAATAGTTATTCCTTTTTTCAAAAAAAAAAAAGGAGAGCAACAGGGTATATAATAATGATTTTAAGAATGATCTAATAAAAAAGGTGGCCGTTCGATTAATGCACGTTAATAATTACTCACAATGATATAAATATTTAAATGTCGACAGCAGAAATACATAGTTGATTATAAAAGTTACCAATATGAAGCATATGGTCGGATAACCTTTACGCAAAACTTTTCGAATTTCCAAAGGATGTATTGGCTTTGCTTAGATTTCTTTGAAAAAAAGAAATGCTTTTGGAAAAATATTGGAAATAAATAAATCTAGTTTAAATTTGACACGGGCTCGAGAAAATTTTACGGTCATTAACAATGATAGTTAATAATATATTCGTGCACTAAACAGGTTCCCGGGATCAGACAATGATCTTATGTGGGCAAGAAGTTCATCTAATTCAATTTGGAAATGTTTTATTTGCTGATTTTTTTGCTCTATAATTAACGACATCCGTTCCGCCAGTAGACGCCGCTCAACTTCAGCAACGCGCTTAGATTCAGCAATTTCGAAAGCTACATCCTCCTCCCTCTGCTTGCAACGCTTTTCTAAATAGCTCAATCGATCTAAAAAGGCTAATAAAAAATTCTCTGACTTCTCATTACTAGCCATTTTTATCAACTTACGGTTCATGAACTTGATATCTTCGTTGATGTATTTCATCTTCGAAATACGGCCTAACTCTAGTTGGTGAGAGTTCTGAAGACGAGTTAACTCATCATCATGATTTTTATGAATAAGTTGAAGTTGCTCGGAGTGACTTTTTTTCATGTCCTCCACGCATCTTTCCCACTGTTTATTTAAAAGATCAATAAACCGATAGTTATCCGTCAAAAGCTTCTCGCACTTCAACAGCCTCTCCTTGAGAAGCACGGTCTCACGATCTATATTGGGTGTATTTTGTATGATATTTGCTCTAACTCCTTCGCTGTTCTCCTTATCTTTCAACTGAAGCTCAAGTCGATGGATTTTTTCCTTATATTGCGAGCTAAGTTTATCAGACTCATCCTTCAATCGCTGCAAAGCGGACGCCATATACCTCTCCTTTTCCACCAATGCATCCTCCAGTTGGCGAATTCGAGAGTCTTTCATTTTAATGAGGCGATTTTCTTCCAGTCTCTTGGAACCATGATTTGTGTTGGTTATATGAGTTGTTTGTCTATTTTTTGAAAGTGATTCGAGGTTGTTTATATTCGCTTGTGTATCCTTGGATTTGCTTATCTTTTTCTTCACTTTCCGAAGATCAGATAGTCCTATTTCTTTATTATCCGTGCTCTCTTTTGTCCAACTAACATGCTTGGAGTCATTGTCATGGAGAATTTCCCCTCCCGTCACAGATGTCTCACATGTTATGGAGGCTTCGGTAAATGTGCATTTATCTTCAACTTTTCCAGGTTTAATACTATCTAGCCGAGCCCACATCTCCGTTTTAGACTTTTCTGCCTCCTCACACTTGCGTTTCAGTTCACTAATAGTAGTGGTAAGCTTTTGAATATCTTCCACACGTTTCTTGTTAAGTTGAGCTTCGCTTTCTACGCTGCTTGCTAGAAGACTATGCTTAGCCTCTAGATTTGCAATGTGATTGCTAAGCTCAATATTTTTCAGTGAAAGATCCTTAGATTTGTTTCGTAGAATCTCATTATCTTTCTGTAATGTCGCTATAATTCTCTCCTGCATTACCATATCCGAGCAAACTTCCTTAAGGTCAACTTCAGAAATCGATCGACTAGAAAGCAGCTTGCCTAGAACTCCTATCTTCGACCTTCCCCCTTTATCATCATCCAAATCCGTTGTAATAGGAACACATTCAGTTATAATCTGGATGCCCTCTGAATCTTCTGTAGGTTCAATTTGTCTGAATTCAGAAAATTTTTCATTAGCTATGGTCCGTACCTGTTTTTCACCACTCAGTTGTGTAGCTAAGAGTTCATCTGAATCCATAATTTTGGCCCCTTTCAAAGAAATAATACACTCACACAACTCTAGAATCGTGCTACTAACATGCGGTTTAGATAGCGAAAAGAAAGAGAAGTAACCACATGTTTTGTAAACAATACCTGATGGTTTATGAAAGAAAACACTATTATAAAGTATTCCTTGTATCAACCTCTTCAGTTTCAAAACAATATACGAGGGAAAACCCTATAGTGTATTTTATGGTCTTGACTGTTGCACATAACTTTTTCGTATAACACAATAAACCAAGGCCAAGTATTCGGGTATTACATAGATGGGAAAAGCTACTCATAAAAACAACTTGATTTGATAATTTAGGTCTTCAACTAAGTTGGAAATTGATATTTTTTCCAAAAAATGCTTATGCTATACTTTGACACTCCCATTCATTCTAGAATATTTTATCACATTAAGGTACCTCTGGAAGGCTTACCGTATCAAGCTTTATTCAACATTAGAACGAATTTGACATGCAATGATGCTTACAAAAAAAAAAGGCAAATGTTATACGTGTTGGATCGAAAAAAATTGCAAATCAACTAAACTCAATTGTCCTTCGGTTAATTGAAGATGTAAATGTATTTATATAGATATTTAGAAATTTATTAGCCTCGAATTCGTAGCAGTGTTTAACACGATGTTCCTTTGAAATCCAAAATAAGCAAAAAGGATAAAACGAGGCTTCGCTGAAGACCTTACCCTTGAATCAAAAATAGTGCTTACTTAGTTTGAAGCCACATTCCTGTCTACACGTTAAATTGTCGCGTATGCACACATCAATTTTGCATAGGCTGCCCAGTATATCGTAACACATTTGATCTGTTACTATTTACCAAATAAATAATACTTTATGCGTAAAGGTTGAATTTAAAAGAAAAAAGATAAGCGTCATAGGGGTAGCATGAAACAGATATCCTCGGATCTATTTAATGGAATTTGGAGCCTTCACCTCCGAACGATTTGAGAAATAATAATAATAAGAATAATAATAATAATAATAATAATAATGAAATTCGAATTAATAGCATAAGGAAACAAACTACACCTTCCAATGGAATTAGTTTGCATAAATAAGGCAGCAAACCGGAAATCATGCCTTGCACTATCTCATAAAGGTATATAATATAGGTACATAAAAGCTTTTAGTATATTTTTATATCCGCATTGGTAAAATGATAAAGCCATCATGCTACTTTCTTCATAGGCTGGTACGAAAAAATAAGGGCATCTGCCATGCATTCTAATTGAAAATAGCATCTAATCATTTTTATTATTTTTTAGAAAACAGCTGTTTATGCAACTGCTCTATATTATATAGATATATTAAATAGTAGGCATCCAATCCGAAAGAAAAGATGTTCTCTTCTGGAGGAGGACCCAGAAGTTGTATAACGACACTACCCTTCGTAAATTTTAATATATATAGCGCTCCGTATCGTAACGCACACAAAATTCTAAGAAGATTTGTACACAAAATTTTTGTCTTCGGTATTAAGAAATGGGCTTAAACGAGAAGTTGGGTACTCGTTTGTATGCACTCGCCCTCTCAAAAAAAAAAAAAACATCAGACTAAGGGCTTCAAGATAAATACAGTAAAGGTTTTGAAAACACACTCATAGCAATAGCCTCTGTCGCACAGTGTTAGGTAAAGTACAGAACAACCTGACAAATTGTATGGCGTCACACTCTACGAAGGGAAACCCTTGCAATAAGAAAATAAAGAAAAAACGAAAGTCTGCACGATAACAGCAGCGAACACGGAAACTTCACACCCTGTGGTTAAAAGGCCACCTATCGGCACCCCACCCCCGCCATTAAATAAAAAAACTGCTACACTATCATGCAACAAGACAAAAACGGCGCTGTGCCACTACTTTGCCTCTAAAATACCTTGGACGCGAGCTGGGAGGCAATCTCGAGGTAAAAAACGTGACGCAGGAGCCGAGGGGGGAGGGAGGAGTAGGAGGATTTAAAACCCCCAAACAGGGGCTCCCCCCCCCCCCCCTAAGCCAGCTGTGTAATGACGCTGGGCCCGGCCCCATAACAAGCGTGATTTTTTTCAATTGTTGCTGATACGGAAAAAAAAAAAGAAATCCACGCCCATGCTTCAAGCGAATTCCCCTGTGTATATGCAAAAAGACTGGAATAATCATCAATTTGGTACGAAGGCTCTTCTGCGCGTGGCAAAACTCGAAAATCCTACTACGGCCCCACCTTTGTTGAACAGCACCTCGAAAACAAACGAACTTTTTATCATTGGATTTGATGAGCTTAGCGGTAAATTCCAATGATTTCACGATACCAAAGGCGCAGGATGTGGGGGCCAAAATACACCCAATGGATTAACACAGAATTAACGACTATGGTCCGCAGGTAAATTGATAAGATTCAACTGAACTCATCTATTTTTTGGTTTTCTGATTCTTAGAAGTACTAAATCTTAAAATAAATGCACCTTAACCACAGACAAGAGCCAGCACAAAATATACAAACGGCGGGGTTTAAAATAAATGAAATTCTCCCCCCCCCCCCCCGCCTTTCCTGAATACCATTCCCCCATGGCCAACGAATAAAAGCAAATAAAATCTTTTATACTATTTGTGAAACTAATACTTAATCATAAATTTTTATTCTGAGACAATAATATACTTTTTTGAACCCTGTGCTTGCAATAACGGAGGATAGTCTTGAAATTTAACTCTAAAAGAGTAAATATTTAAATATCCGACAATTTCTCTAAAATGTTTATACAACTATATCACTTAAAGAAAAGCTATCAGAATATATTTTCTTTCCGAGATACCTAATAGTTAAATACAATACATTTACTTTATTCAAAATCCAATCATAAAAAGTAGAAATAGGAGTCAAGTGTACTATCCAAATGTGCTTCGCGAATAAATTGCCATCCGCAACAAGAAAAATCGTGCCCCATTAGAGTTGCTTTTTCCCACTGCAAGTGGGCAAAGCAAAACTTTATGCGATAAAATTTTTTATTCGATAAAATATTATGCATAACACAACCCATGAAATTTTTTTGCCACACTGTCAAAAAAAAGAGGAAATGGGGGGAACAAGCCATGGCGAGTGGAAGGCCATCGCCTTCCCCCTCTGGCAACAGCGGTGGCTCACATTGGTGAGCTACCAAAAAAACAACAACGTGGTATCCAGCTCGAGTGGACCAATCTGCTTGGGATAGGAATGTTAAAAATGTATGGTTCGGTTGGACCCCAAAGAACCCCCTGCGCGGTGGGGATGGGATTTCCCACACTCTCCTTCCCAAAGCCTCGCGAAAAGCATGGGAGGCAAATATGAATCTAATTGCAAACACTCATGCCCACCAGGGGTTCTGCTGGTGTTTTGGCTGTGCGAGAATCTTTTATTATGATATTGAGCGCAGCCAATGTTTATATTAAATGTGCCATGAAAAACTACCTCTTCCAAAATATGTGTAAAACTTAGAGTATAAGAATTATGTATTATGTAATTTAAATACCTCCGGGTGGAAAATTTGGGTTTCGCTTTTTGTTTGCAATACCAAATATTAAGCGCTAAACTTAAAGAAAGTAATATGCTACGTTGATTCCAATTATTTTTGGTAAAATTGAGTTCCATCAAACAGGTACTCTTATTTTGATTTTTCTGCACTTTGTAACACCATCGGTTGCCTTATTATTTTCTTTTTGAATGCCGCATCTAATTTATATCATTTTATTCAATAAATTTTAATACATCACAATGTGGCACTTTCTAATTTATACAGAAAAAAAAACATGTTAAAAAGTGATGAGAAGAGGTCAATGTGATCATAATACAAGTTTCAATATAAGGACATTATCAAATATTCGGGTCTGCTTCAGTGAAACATGATGTGCGGAATTACAGTACCTGTATGCGTATTGTTCCATCAATTTAGTGTATGCTCTTGTTGAAAGATAATGCAATCTATTATTGGTATTTTTGAAATATATTACTTTATTTGAGTTTATAACATCATATCTAATATATTTATGTTTATTATACATTTGATTATGACTTAATTCACTTTAATATAATAAAATGGTGCAGTGTGACTACTGTATAGTGGATATGGGAAAGTGTCACACCCAAAATCTGAATATCAACTCTATGATTGAAATAATAATCTTAGTAATCAATAAAAATAATAATTTGTCTTAAAATATATTAGCATACTATTATTCAATTACCAAAAATATATAAAAATACGATAATTTTTATTTGATTTAATTGGGGAAAATAATCTAATGCCATAACTTATAGGCTCAAATCGTATTAATATGTTTTTCTAAACATAAAGTGTCGTGCACCTGGAAAAACAATACATATTAAATCCATAATATATATTGTATGCAAAGGAAGAAAACATAAAACAGTAATTTTTTTGTAATCTTGTATGAAATGAGTTCAAAATTTTATTTACAAAAACAATCACCTGTCTGTGAGTTCAGGTGGGGGCCATTATTTTTGATGGATTTGAAAGTTTGAAAATTGTTGGTTTTATGCTGTATAAATTCACAAAAAACAATATGTAATTTAGGCATTTGGTTAATAAAAAATATTAAAGCTCCACAAAGGGTGTTCATTTGCATCTGGTGTAATTTTATAGGTGCCGGTGGAAATATCAAGAGGGTTTGGCAAGTTCCCTTGAGGTCAGCGTAGAAACATTTCAATGAATGTATAAAAAATAAAAATATTGAATAAAATAATCAAAAATATGTAATAAAATCTACAAATAAGTTATTATATACAAAAAATCGAGTGAAATAAATTTGGAATTTTTTTTATATATGTGATGCATTTTGAAAATTACAACTGTGCCCATGGCGCCGCACATTGGGTCTCAAGTAAAATATAATAGTATTATTACTCATTATTTTTATGAATTTCATAAATATTATATATATGTTATATTTTGTGCTCTTTTTACACGCGTATTTGTTCAAGTATACTTTTGAACATTTTTA